TGTTTCCGACGGAGCTTGTGCAATATTAGTGTACTTCTACTTTCCAGGTGAGTGGTTCCTTGACATCATTTGTGGTCAGGAGGCGAGGGTAGCGTGGGGTGGTGAGCTGAAACTGACACGGTGGTCGACTATCCCTAATCACTACTAGGTTTACGTGAAATATGCATGAATTTCAGGAAGTTTTTGTCTTTAAAATTAAACTATGATTAGTAATGATTTAGGAAGTATAATACCGGTAGTCTTTCCAAACAAACTAAATTTTCAATTTTCAATTTAATCAAAATTTCAACGTGAAATTTTAAAATGTGCTGATAGAGAATTCTTTGCATTTTGGGGGGTCATTTTGAAAATTTCAAGCTAAATTGACACTGCCCCCCCCCCCCAGGCAAATGGTCTCGCGATGCCCATGTCTGTTGGCACAACTCCAGTGCACAAAAAAACAATGCATAGGCAATTCATTAATTGATAATTCATTACAACAGTTTTATTGCTCATTAGATGTTCATTATATTGACTGCATCTAATCTTACTCATTTGAAGGTGTCAGAGAAAAGTCCTGTCACTTTCGATGAGATATTCCTCATTACACAGGGAACAGTCAAATGGTGTGAGAAGCAGTCTAAAAGAGACATATCAAAGGAATCTCTGTAATCTATATCATTTTCAATACTAATGATTTTAGGAAATGAATACTAGTAGTCTTGAAACTCAAACACTTGTATTAATACTTAATATGTTTTAGTGAGATTTGGCTATTGCGATTCCACTACAGAATCCACTAGTTACAAAATATTAAATTATCTTTGATATGCATTGAGTATTTTTCCTTTTCTACATCATACAAACATTAACTATAACTAATTATATAAAACAAATGGTTTCTTTACAAATCTTTCTCAATAAAGGAAATGGTGTTTATGCAGTCTGCATCCACACCCGCTAAGAAGATAAAAACATTTGAAACAGAATGAATAACTGCCACTCCTATCATAATAACATTTGACGAAGATTTATCTGTGCCTTATTTTTCTTGTTTGTTTTATTCCCTTGATTGAGACCAGTCTCCTATTTCCTTCCAGGTTAATTTGATGATCATCTCAAGAGCCAGAAAGGCAGTAACAACTCATAGCAGTTTATCAATATCCATGTAGTCTGCAAGCACAGACTCCAATTTGACCCTTTCCCACAATGCCTAAGGCCTTGAGCAGAGCCTAGATCTTGCAGTTTCTGGCTATGAGCGGCAGAGTACAGAGCCCATTGTAGTCTCATATAGCAGACACTTTTATGCACAACAACTGACAAGGGTTTGTGTCCATGTGGCTTTAAAAAAAATACCAATATCCTTTTGCAAGTAATCACTTTATGAAGTGATATATAAGATTAAAAGAGCAGCAACATTCATAGAAAAACAAAAATAAATATAACTTTGACAGAATTACTGGAAGGATGTCATCACATCGCTATGGAAACACAATATTAATTACCTCTTTACCAAACAGCCAATCAGATTAATCGACCATAGTTCCTGTAAGTACATCTTAATTGGATAATAATCATCACTAAATGAGGTGAGACGATTATTGCAAAACTAATTGAAAACAGCAGACAAAGTGGCTACTATGCATGAAACTTAGAGGCAAAAGGGCATATATCTACACGGACACAGCTTTGAGCAAGCTTTTTCCTCTTGACAAATATTCATTGACACTCCTAGTTACTGCTACCCAGTGGTAAATAGAAGCAGTGGAGGATTTAAGGGGAGGGGCCAGGGGATACTTGTCTGTGCCCCAGTAAATCACATTAACGAACAAAAAGGGTGCCCTCAAATTTTATTCTTGCGCACCCTTTACAATATTATACCCTAAAGATATCTTATGTATTTTAAATTTAAAAATGGCGGGGGGGGGGGGGGGGGGAAGAGGAGGCTTTTCAGAGAATTTCCATAAGTGAGCCCCCCCCCCCCCCCATTTGTAAAGGATTCTGGTTACGCCCCTGGATGGGAGATAATAGAGACAGAGGACTATGATTGACGCTATGCACCAGTGAATATGGTGATGGGAGGCAGAAAGGTTCCGCTAGAGTAGACCAATGTAATCTGACCCAGTAATTATCATCCTTCTTCTTAGAATGTCATCACCGACTGATTAGGATGTCATCACTGACCCATCGTTAGGGGGAAGAAAGACAAATTTGTCCCTTATATGATGAAATTAAATCATAATCACGTAAGCTCAATAAATCCAACGTCATACATGCCACAACTGAGAGGGATAAAGATTATGATAAGATTATGAAAAGATTAGTGTTATTGTGTCAGACATCAAGTTACATATTTTGCCAAATGCATTATATTTCTGATCACTGATGATTTTCTCTGTTTTTTAAATACATTATTAGAATGTCTAATCATGGACCTACTATCCATGGTCTAATAGATGCATCAAAATGTTCTTCATGTGTCCTGGACTCTCTCTCTCTCTCTCCCCCTCTCTCTCTCTCTCTCTCTCTCTCTCCCTCTCTCTCTCTCTCTCCCTCTCTCCTCCCCTCTCTCTCTCGCGCTCCATTTTCATGTTAATTCTACTAACTCCTTTCACAAACTTCTTGGTTGGTTTGAAAGTGGAACCCAAAAAGAAACAAAAACCTTTATTTCCACTGCTGATGGGAATAATATGATCATTATATATGACAAGGAAATAATGCTGCCTCTAAAGCAGTACAACAATCCAAATTATACCCTGGACCTTCCCTTTAAGACTATACTGTTTGTAACAATTGTGATTTTATGAAATGAAAATATTAGTTCATTCTAAAATAAATCATTGCAGTGTTTAATATCCCAGGGTGGTTGGCAGATGTAATATTTTACTTTCTTTCCTTTTCATTTTTTTCTCAAAGAACAAAAAATGATGCTTTAAAAATAAACATATTCTTGTGGATTTTATGGCAAATATTTATGCTAAAGTTAAGAAGGCTATGCCTTTTAAAATGAAAGGTTTTTTGAAAAAATGGAGTAAAAGGTATTTTTAAATATCTGTAGGACAAAGGCAGATTTTCTTATTCTTTATTTATACTACCAACACAAGGAATGTAAAACATGAAACATATCACTTCATGGTAAAATAGGCTTGACAGCTTCAGAATGTAAAGAATCTGAAAATGAAAGTGGTTCCACATTGAAAAGGATGTGTGACATTTCAGTATGAAATGAAGATATGGACAGCTCCTGTATTTATAACTGAAATTAGGCATAATATCCTGACAAATTGTGGAATCATAATTTCGCACTCAATAGGCAGCTGTTAAAGAATATTCTTGTTTAATCTATCTTTGTTTTTTATAGATAATTTAATAAAAATTGAGATTTTTTTCTAAATAATTCTCACAGGATGAGAAAACATCAAAATAGGAGGGGGGAAAAAAAGATAAAAACTTAGGAAAATAATAATATTTTTACACCTATTCTTTCAGGAATGCCATTGTGATAATGAAAATTGTAAACATTATCTGACCCTTTTGATACTCTCCCATTCCTCGACTGATTGCGGTTGGAATAGAACGCAGGGAGAGGAAACCGCATCATTCTTTGGTGTAAGAGGAGACTCTCACTTGGGCTCCAAAACATAGCTGAAATTTTCGGCTCGTGGCTTGACTAAAATGATGTTTTCACCTATGATCGACACAACCTTTAACTTTGTTGTCATGCAGGTTTCAAACCAAAGGAATGTTGGAATGTCACGTAGTAAATTCACAAAATACAGTTGTTATGTGATAACATTAATATTTTGACACATTTGTGTAAACAATTTTCACTTTAAGTGAATCTTGGCTGAGTGTACAACAAACTCCATGAATGACAATCTGTCAAATCATTATTCTTTTTCTTATTTGGCTTACATGTCGATTGATGTTGAGGTTATCTTGGTAAACAATAATCATAACCTGAAATAAAATATATAAAATGGAAAATCTTAACAGCTCAACAATAATGTGCTAATACTGCTGAATAAAAGAATGCATATCTTTTGTTTCTTCTGTTTTCCACAATATTGGTGCTGATGAAAAGTTTTGTATTCAATAGAGGGAGATATCTTTGTATATTGTAAATATGAAATAATTTCAATTTTCAAGCCATTGGAAAGACATGTTCATATTGTTTATTCAATTCCTTTGCAAAAATAATTACGATCTTAAACACACCTGTACAAGCTTCACATGAATCTATACAGTCTGGACTAAGAGACTAGTATGAATCGCCGTTGTGGTAGGAAGAAAAGAGGCGGAAGGAGGAGGAAGGGCTGGTAGATGCTCTCCAGTGGTAGTAAGATGACCTCATCATCCAATCATAGAGCTGGAGGACCTCAAGCAGGGAACCAATAATTTTTCTTGACTCCTAGGCCAAACGTCAACCTCAGGAACGTGTGTTTTGGTTACCGTCTCGTGCCATAAGTGATAAATTTTACTCTTTTTATATCTCACATTGTTTGTTTGTTTGTTTGGAATTCATATCGCCGGAAGGCGGGCGGGACTGGGGAGCTATTTTTAAGACAAAGGACATACTTGAGTGATCACTCATTAAGTGGGATTTCATTAGTAAGATTTGGATCATCAACTTCACATTGTGATGTAATCATACGTAGGCAGTGAGTAGAGAGACGTCGTCGTGGAGTATAAATTGTCACTCGTTCTCAAGATTGATGACATTCGATAGCTTGCTTCATGATCAACAGCAACACTTAACATCTACAGCTTTAGATTTATTGCTCTCACATCTGGATCCACGCTCAACTACAGAAAATTAAGCTTCAGTTTCAAGCAAAGCATCCACTGGACAGTCTATTAGCTTTGGAAAGCTGCTTGTTCATTTATTTACAGCAAAGAGAATTTGCTAGCACATTTTGTCACTTTAAGTGATAAGGCATCTTCTTTTATTCTAAGGGACGTAGCATCATACTGAAGTTATTCATTTTCAAAGGAAAGATCAAGACAACAACAAAAACAAAATGTTTCCACTCAAGGCTTTCATCAATATTGTAATAACGGTGGTGGTGATGATGACGGTAATGATGACTGCATCATCTTTATCATCGTCTTGCTCATCGTGCCCAGCTAAGCATCTTCAACAGCAATACTGTGATGCAGAGATTGGTAAGTTGTTTATTTATCTATTCTAAGAACAAAATGTGTGACAGATTAATTTCTCACTACAGGATCAAAGTGTGTAGGAAACCAAAGAAAAAAATGTCTTTCAAAAAATAAAAGTAGAGTAGCTGCTCTGAAAGGAATTTCAGCCATTGTACAGTCATCTTAATGCTATCATCATGATGAAACCAATATATTTTGTTTAAAAGATAAATGACAAAATCGAAAAATGTCTTAAAATAAATGTTTTAATGAAGCAATAAGAGTTTAGGAGGATTTATATGAGTAAACAAATTGTACAGGTGCTTAATGACAACCATTGTCATTTATTCTGACTAAATCAGTGATTGTTAATTGTATCTTGTTTCAAACTATATCACAGAAACTATTTTGACCTACAAAAGAGCAGCTTAACAAATATTGATGTGCATCTTTCAATAAATCATATTGTGTTTAAAAGTCAATATTTTTATCCAAAAGAGTACAGGGTGATTTTGGTATAATATGGAAACAGAAAATATGGCTTAAACAATTGATTTAACCTCTCTGTTAATGATATTTTCATGTTTTCAGTATTACGAGGACGAGTCAAAGATGATATGACTGTCAAAGTGGTTAGTCTCTTCAAGTCACCGAGTTCTTTCATCGCTACCAAGCGAGGGGGTCTTACTGTAGCCTTCGACAGACCGAGCTGTAGAGAGTCTCATCTTAAACCAGGGGTTATTTACCTCATCACGGGTAAGTAAAACAATCATAACTACGGAGAGAGAGAGAGAGAGAGAGAGAGAGAGGGAAGGGGGGGGGTACAAGCAGATATGTAGATAGTGGATAACTAGCAAAAAGCAGATGGATATAAAAGAAAAGAAGAAAAAAAGAGAGAAAGAGAGACAGAAAGAAAGAATGATAAAGAGAAAGTTTTAGAGAATAGAAGCAAATGAACTATACGGAGAGAGAGAAGGGAGACGATAACATATATACTGAGTAGAAGGAGAGGTTAGAAGGAGAGGTAAGAGGGAGGTAGCATGAGAGGTAACAAGAGAGAGAGAGAGAGAGAGAGAGAGAGAGAGAGAGAGAGAGATGCTTGAGGCTCATTATGAAAGTGAATGTCAATTATGTATTAAGCATAATATTTTCCATTCCGAACAAAACTTCAATATTACATATGCTTTTCTTCATTACAGGGAGTTCCCATGGCAACGTTCTCCATATTGGATCTTGTGATGCTGTTATGCCTTGGTCCAGCCTTACATCTGTCCAGAGACAAGGTGTAGAAAATGTTTATGGACTTTTCTGTGATAAATGCAGGGTAAGCAAATCATCACTTCTATTTCCATTTTTTAATATAAGTGCCATTAATTGAATAAAGATGCAATACTAGCTTTAACCCATTGGCTATAGATTTGAATGGTCTATGTGCCAAGCTTGAGAGAATGGGAAAAAAGCAGTAGTCCATGAATGTTGAGAAGCCATGGGTAAAATGTCATTAAAGAAAACAAAACTAATTGAGAGATTGACTAATGAGCCCCCCCCCCCCCCCCCCCCGAATAAAAGACCCCAACTCAATTCTGCTTAGCTTATCTATGGCAAGACTAAATAGGCTGAACTATTTTAATGTTCTTACAACTTAGAGCCAGAAAGAATGAATCTAACATGACCAAGAAATGTGCTTATCTTTGAATTACAAATGTCATCTTTGACACCATTCACATGTTTAAGTAATTAGAAAAGTATTATTACAAACATGTCCTATGTTAGTTCAGTTATTGAGGTCACAATGTCAATTCCTGCCATTGTTGTGTGACTCCAAATAGGAAAAGCTCTAAACAGGAATGCTGCCCTCTAGCAGCAGTGCCTCTACATGGTAGACACTCACAAGTAAAGGGATTCAAGGACAAAATGATAGACACTTTACAAACATGTAGGACAATAATATTTCATAAATCACAAATCAATTTTGTATTTCAATATGACAATTTCATCTTATTGTTAGGTTAGCAAACACATTTACCTTTTTTAAAAATCTATTTATATTACTTTCTGAATGGATCATAAGTTTACACTGAATATTTTAATGTGATTTTCATCATCTTCAACAAAATATAGGTTATAACAGTGTGGAATGAAACAAATTTTGAAACAAAAAAAATGATTTAAGAAACCCCTTCCCCCCCACCCCCCAAGAAAAAAACACACATTAAAAGTAAAAAAATAAAATGAAACAAAAAGAAAAGAAAAGGAAAAAAGAACAAAGATCATATTAAACTGTGAAGTACAATGCTAACACTTAAATAATGATAATCACAAATATGATTATTTTCCACAGGTCAATGAGACGCACTCCCTAATCCGCCCTGACATGAACCCCTTCCTGGGAGGCAATGAGATTCAGAGCAGTGCTGAAGATCTGTGGAGGACAGAAGACTGTTTCTACAACCCTCTAGCATCTCGTCAGTACATGGTAGATGACTGTGAGACCTCGTACAGTGTCTGTGTGCCCAACATGGATGGCACAGGCCGCTGCTCATGGCTGCAGTCCGAGAAGTACGTCTTTTGCTCCAAGAGGCGAAAGAACAGCGCCTGCCTGCAGACGGGCGGAGCTTATGCTTTTCTGGCAGGATGGACATGTCCAGAGAATTGTAAAGGCATCCAGGAGGACTGCCTACGTGAGATGTGTTTGCAGGCTACCACCGGTGTCGTATGCCCAAAGAGGATACGAGAAAGGCCTATCCCATCTTTTCTTGGCAATAATTTTTAACCTTGGCTCATTGTTTAGTATTCATTTTTTAAATAAAAAACTTCTTCACTGCTGCATTTATATGTGAGAGACGGTGCAATATCATTTTCGTATTCTTCCAGAACGAGGGAGTTTATTTATTGGTAATTTGCAATAATAACAGGTGAAAGACGAAAGAATACGATGAGAATTAATGACATCAGACAAAAGCAACAGGAGTATAGAAAGAGTCGTCTAGCAAAATGTTGTGATTACGTTGTTTATTATTGTAATGCTGTTGTAAAGTACATTTTTCTGAAGTGATGTGTATTTGTGTATTAATCGTAGTATAAGTGTCAAGACTGACATTGGAAAACAAACAAGGGACCAAAATAAAGAAAATATGAAACTGAAGTGACGAAGAAATATCTAATATAAAACTTTGTTCGCTCAGTTGGTTTTAAGTATCTTATTTATCTATGAATTATATTATCTGCCTCTTTGAAATCAAACGTTTGCCTTGTTTTGTACTTATACTATGTGTAATAAACTGGACTCATGTCATAATGAAAAAGTATGGTCTAAATTTAAAGAATTCAGCAGCTGATTCATGGTGTTGCACCAAGTTGTGATGCAAGGGGGAGAGGGGGAGAGAGAAGAAGAGAGAGAGAGAGGGAGAGATGTCAGTATTAAAGTTAAAAGAGAAGGGAGGAGGAAGAGGAGGGAGGAGGGAGGAGAGAGAAGGGGAGGAGGGAGAAGAGAGAAGGGGAGGGAGAAGAGAGAAGGGGAGGGTAAAGAGATAGGGGGAATAGGGGAGGGATAGCCAGAGAGAGACAGAGAGAGAGAGAGAGACAGAGAGACAGATGGGAGAAAAACAGGCTAAGGTTGGTAGGAGAACTGTGGACAAAAAGACATACATGTAAAAAAAAAAAAAGGGAACAAAAATATCAAGATCAATAGCATGGGGAGAGAAAGAAAGAGAGAGAGAGAGAGAGAATGAAAGAGAGAGAATTAAAGAAAAAGAGAGAGTGGGGTAGGAGAGACAGAGAGGGATGAATTTAGACAATATTATGTTTCACTAGAAATAAATTATATAAGGACATGTACCAAATAAAAGGGGGAAAGGAATAAAAATATAGACATCAATTCAATCAATTTAATGTAATTTATGTACAAGCACAAGACAGTGACCCAATAATACATCAATTTTTGACCTCAATCCACACCAATACATTCCATCAAGCTGAAATTTCCAGTGGCAAAACTAACAACCAATGACACACCTCCAATTCATTCTTATGCATTATGCATTTTACTTTATCCAATCAGAAACATTTGCATGTTTTAGAACCCGCCCACTTTTAAAGAAATATACACACACAACAGTCCGTACGTATGCACACAATACACATCTCTAGAGTGTATGTGTGTAGGCAGTGCTTGCTGAGGCTCAGTGATATGCAGTTGAGTGAAATAATTGGCTGAAGCACTATTACCATATTTGGGCATCTGGAGGAAAGTAAATCTCCTTGCAACCAGTTGGAAGAAGTGCTTTTGGACTGATCCAAGTCAAGACAGAGGGGTGAATAATGCCAATGAAGGAAGGGAGATAACATTGTCAGAAATTTCCAAAATGTATTGAGACCAGTGTCCATATGCATTCATATGGATTTAAAACGATATTGAAATATACATAGAAAAACAAAGCACCTTTAATCTGTTAATAAACTAGGGAAAATTCAAAAAGACATCATGAAATAGTGCTGATAATGAGAGGAATGTAATGCGATTTAGCAGGGGGGAATATTACAACAAAGTTTGATGGTTTACTCAAGTTCTAAACTGATAAGAAGTGAGGCAAAAATTTGGTTTGGTTATTATTTCATCCTAGTGTGTTCTCAAGTGGTTATCTATTTGATCAATGTCTCCAGTATGATGTCAAACTTGAATAATTTAATCATAGTCAATGGATTAAATGATGATCCATTCACGCAAATAAAAAACTAGCTATTAATCCCTAGCTGTATTTGTTAGCTTCCTTGATACATACGTCATGACGAAGGATATCTATTTCTGTGTAATAGTCTTTTCTGGGAAGTATCACAGCTGCTTGGAAGGCAAGTTTATATTTGATTCTTGTATCTAGCTTAACATCTGCGCAGCTATCTCTCTGTGTAATAATTAGACACACGCCCTCTCTTGTTTAGTGTTAACAGAAGAGGAATGAAGGATCAACAACAGACTTTCAAACACATTCATGACATTATTAGCACCTATATATAAACATGTATATATGGAAGCTATGTGAATTTAAAATATTGAAGGAGAAGAGTTACTTTGCATGTTGGATGGTTTCACACATGCTGAGAATCAAGAAATGATCAAAATAGAGTTGAGTTGAAGGAACCCCCCCTCCCCCCCCCCCCTTCAACCCCTGCTTTTCAAAAAGGCATCTGGAGAATCTGACTGGTTGTCAAAAAGATTGTTAGTGAATTAGCAAAAGAAAATGTGATGATCATTTCCAAGTTTTTGCTTGTCAGAATTGTATTCCCTTCAAATTTGTGCCCCCTCCACCATTACAGAATCCTGAGTCTGCCCCTGCCCACACTTACATTAAATCTTTAGCACCACAGGTTGAGGGTGTTTCCTTCACACCTCCTATTAAGTAATAATCAGAAAAAGGCGTCAAAACAAGCCAAATATCTACCACATAATTTCTCATTAATTGATAATTTCCCCCATCTTGGCCTCAAACCACTCCACAACAAGTGCGTGTATCACGCAATGATCCAGACCGCCCAGACAGTGTTAACCGCTTTACTGCCATGGGCAGTGCAGCTAGAACTAATCTGGCACTCTGCCCTCAGTGTGGAAATACGGCATGATCATCATGTACTTCATAATTCAGCAGGTTAATTGGGCCAATGAACTATTTTGGCAAAAATAGTCAGGGATGAATATTTTCTAAAATTTGAATGTAAGACTTAAGACAAGTGTGAGTTTTGAATTTTGGCATCGGTGTAACAGGTCGTGGTTCTTGTAACATGACTTTTATTTTGTCCTCTTGAATGAAAATGCTGTTACTGGCAAGGTTTGGCAACTCAAAAATTATTTCACATACTGGCCATGCATATATATATATATATATATGGTAAGTCACGTAAAACTGAAGATGTTCATCTGTTTGAAACATAGAGGGGGGGGGGGGGGATATAGACATACAGAGAGATAAAGAGATGAAGAGATGAAGTGAGATATTCCCCAAAAATTCTGCTCCCAGGTGGAGGGTGTGGCAGTGTCTGCCAAAGCAGGGCAGGGCCAAAATGGATGGCGTTATCGTCTAGTAGATTTTGGGGTAGCGTGAATATTGTTCTGAGAAAAATATATCTACGTCACACTATCAGTCTTAAAAGACATATTCACATGAATTCAGGAATTTAGTAATGTGATCAGAAATTGAATAACCAAACTGGTATATATAACCACATTGTCTTTAAAAGAAAAAAACCTTATTTACCTTTTCAGTAGCAGTTAATTTACAAAGGGATACTATAAATCAACTCATTTATATATATTTAAAAGAGATCACATTCTTTTCATTTATTGGTTATCTGAGGTACAACATCTAATTCATTCTATTTCCATCTTACTCAGCAACACCAGCCTTCTTTAGAAAAAAATGTGGAGTATGAATTTAAGATTAACAATTTGAACATGTACAGCACCTACTGACCAACCTAAAAGTGATTGACCTTCTAAGCTTTCTACTAGTACCCCAACGCACCCTACAATTGACCATTTCAATGATGTTCTTGTGGGTGAAGCTGTGATGTCATCATTTCCTCGCCACAATGAGCCTTCCTTTTTAACAATGTCCTTGGAATTGACAAATATCAAAGTACAGTATCAGATAGCGTGAAATAAAAAAAAGTTTCAAATGTTTCAGTAGCTGCATTTACCAGACAAAAAACCCATCTCTGGAGTGTGGTTTTTTAAACTAATACTGGCAGATATTCCACCACTTTTTGCACTTTAAATGCTCGTGCTCAAAACACAGATGAACTATTCAAATTTTGGTCACATGACTCTTCTATCCTCCATATGCAGAGCAGCGACAAGTTGCCCATGCTACTACTCACCAAAAGAACAGAATGAGCAAACATTTGAAAAACTGAAGTAATAATTAAAAAAAAAGATTCAGAAAAATCCCTCCTAAAATTACTTTTATTGGCCGTAAAATAATTTTTGGCCGTCATCTAATAATTTGTTTGTGCGGTATGAATTTTGTTTCTACACAGAAATATCAGAAGTTGAGAGCCAAAAGGGCATGAACTCTTACAATTCTGTAGAGTTAATGGCCTTCTGGCTCTGAGCAAATGGGACCCTCTGTATTGTTTTCGTCCTGGAAGCCGGTGGCTGAAACAATTCCTTCCTATATGGCCTTGAGCTTGACTAGCAATAAATTGGTACCAAATCTGAGCTGAATGTTTTGCGAGAACGTGACTATTGGCTGGGTCAACAGCCTTTTCTGCCAGAACAGATGGAAGATCATCACATGAAAATGTGCTAGGGAGAATAACATGCTACGAGAGAGAGTAAGTGAGAGGTGAGAGAAAGAGAGAGAGAGAGAGAGTTGAGAGAAAGAGAGGGAGAGAGAGAGAGAGGCAGCTAAGAGATGGTAGGAGAGAATGAAAGAAATATGGAGGTACTGTGCCAAGAACAATTGGCATGAATACAATTAAGGCATGAATACAATTAAGCCATCATTTAATCCCTAATACACTTAATGTCTATAAAGCTTAAGTCTGTAATACATCAATGTAGACCAAAGTAACAAACAAAGTTTACAGATCAAAAGAACAAAACTAGAATCCAAATACAGAGTTTGTGAAAAGCTTGAACGTGCAAGGAAGTGCACATGCCTAACCAACCAATGAGAAGTCAAAGAACAACATGTCGGATACCGGTATTCCTGTGGTGGTAACTAGTCTCTAAACAAAAGACCTAGTATAACTTTAAATTACAAAAATGTTGATATTGTGAGCAAAAAGCCTAGGACTAATCCACAATTGAGTCATTTGCGGTTCAATACAAAGTAGAATCATTATTTGTAACCATAAAGTAGTTTCTTGTTAATACAAACTTCAGCATCTTGGTGCCTGTATTTGACGTCACTACTTCTGTGTCTTTATAGACTACACCTTTTCACTAGACACTGTGATTGGTAGTTGGAGAATACAATCTTACTAAATATACAATTTCCTCTTTCCACTCTTCTTCTATCTCTATGTTCCTGTGAATCTAGAGTAGACATCTCTCTGCCCCCCCCCCCCCCCCCGTGCCAGCGCCCCCACCCCCACATCAAGAGAAGGTAGAAAAGGAATTCTGGAGTCATGTAGGGCGCTAATTAGGGGATGGTGGGGGAGGCTGGTTAGACGGAGAGAGTCTGCAGTGGCTAAGGGGATATAAAAAGAGCTGTCGGTGTTGCAGATTTGTCAGTATCAGGACAGTATCATCAGCATTATCCAAGGAATCTGAAATAACAATGTTTTCTTGATGAACATAACTGAATCAGCGTACTTAACCGCAGGATACACTGCATCTGTGCTTCCAAAATTGGATCTCATTTCTTTTTGTTAATTTATGTGTTTATATCTTTTGATTCCTGAAGAAAAAAATATCTTGATTTTGAGATGGAATTGAGAAATTTTGTTTGGAGTGGTGGTGTAATCTTTGTGTGCTTCCTTCAGTTTTTGTCACAGAGTGAGGCTTGTAACTGCCTTGTAGACCATCCTCAGAGTAAATTTTGCCGCTCCGACTTTGGTAAGTCTTAATCTTTTCTCATCAACTTGACATTCAATTGTAATAATAAAAAAGGTGGCTTTTGTTTAAGTATTTACTATTTGATTCATGCCTCCAAAAAAATGTATATTTAGAAGCAAAAATAAAAGATAATCAGAAAAAAATAATACTTCAACTATGACAATCATGGATTTGATTTGACAGTCAGACATGATTCTATTTCAGACAAACCCACACAATTAGATTATAGTTCGCTGATGCAATATTCAACCATGCAGACACTGTAATAAGAGTTGATTGCATGCTGACTTACTCAGTTGCATCTTCTTTAGTCTAGAGAGAGTTTTGCTGAGATTGACATTTCTTACTCCATCCAAGTAGTTTCCAACCATCCTCATCGCCATAACAACTCAATGAAATTCATTGAATGTGAAACAAAATTCACATGCACAGATATAAATTTGGGTTTAGGATTCAAGTCATTCTAAAAATACATGTGGGATGAGGCATTTGTCATATCAGACATTTTGATACATGTCATCAATATGGGAATTAGTTCTTTCTGTGACCAAAATATACCTCCCTCCCAATTTAATTTTTTTTTTTTTTAATGTACTAAAATACATTCCAGAAAACTTTTCAGTTAAGATTTAGCTCTTCAAGTAAAGTTTAAGTGAAGAACTTAAAAGATTCTATGAATTCATGTACTTCAAGAGAACATATCAATTTGTTGTACATCAAAGTCAGGTAAACTTTCAAATGAAGAAACTCTTGAAAACATACACACCAGTAACATTTGTGGCATAACAATCTCTCCCTCACTCAACTTGTTGATACTATTATGCAAAAAAACTTATTCATAAAGCCCAAATTATCTTCAGAATGTGGAATCAATCGAGTAAAATATGTTTCTTCTTTTATCTTCATCTTTCAAAATTTTAAATGATTTGAACAGCCATCCAGGCTAAAGTGGTGGAGAAGAAGAGAACTGAGCAATTTGACAACTGAGATTTGAAATTCTTGAAAACATAAACATACCAAATCTTCCTCAAACAATTGTTAGTACTACTATGCAAGAAAGTTGTTCATGCAGCCAAATGCATATTTAGAATGTCGTAACTTAGTAAACTCATTTCTTATTCTCTTCCCCTCTCTGAACTTTTCCAATGGCTTGAAACAGTTGGTACTATTACATAGAACAGTTGCTCTTCCATTCAAAAGCATAACAGGATTGTGGTAATTAGAACCAAGTAAAAAATCATTTCCTTCTCTCTTCTCTCCCTCATAATTCTCAATGAATGGAACAGTTATCCAGGCTAAAATCCTAGAGAGGAAGAGGATTGAGCATCCGGACAAGAGTCGTCCGTTGAATTATCGTTTCTTGATCGGCTACCGTGTGGAGCTCCTGACCGTGTTCAAGGGAGGAGATTTCCTAGGAGAAGCTGATGAGATATGGGTCCAGTCTCCCGATGCTGGTGGACTCTGCGGTGTTACTGGATTAATCATTGATGATGTATATCTACTATCAGGTAAATCAAACAAGTATTTAAACTGATTTAGTTCTTTGCAGCCCTATATTTGATGTTTCATCACCAATCAAATTGTAAATCACTGGCTGCTATTAAAGTGCAATTTGTATGTTCATTTTTTCATTGTTTACCGTAATATACTAAGTAAGATTACTACACTTGATAAGGAGGTTGGATATAGTTTAGTGCTTTACCTTTACTCATTAAATTTGTTTATGGGATGAACACTTTGCTATTAAAATTCAGAATTTTTTCCAGTTTCCTCAGAGTTTTGAAATTACAGTCCCAAACGTACGCAAAATACTCTCACCCTTGCCCCCCACCCAAAAAACCCTTCCCTAAATGAGTCTGCTCTGGCTCTCTGATTATTTACCACAAACATAGCCTAATCTCTCTCATTTAGGGGTATACTCTTGAATACTTTAGCAAAAATATGCCTAATCCATTACAAACTATCATTAATCACTCTCGTCAAAAAACATACTTTAATTAGGATTTATTTTTTAATGCTAAATGAGTTTCTATTTTAGCTCGTAATTGCAAAGAATCCAATAACCCAATTTCAGAGAGAATGTCATTTGCTGTACTCAGATTAATCGTACTTACATAAATCACTCCATTATTAAACTACCAAAACATTCAGATAAACATTCAGACAAACAATGAATGTTGTTCAGATCTAGATTTGCACCAGACTTGAAATATATCTGTCATATAACCTGTTTTCCTCTTGAAATCTACTGAGCTGATCTGGAAGAATCCTAAATTTAGTCTCCTGGAATCAACAAGACATACAATACAATACATGAATCATATCATTTATGCAAGAATTATTAAAAAAGATATCACCAGAACCAAAATCATTACTAATTTTCCTTTATCAGAGTTTTCAGAAAAAAATAAGAGATTTAAATTGCAATATAATTATAAACAAGCAATTTCAAGATTTATATATAAATTTGATGTTTTATAATTCTCTCAAATGTGTAGATATTTCTCTAACAAAGTTGTCAATTTTATATTGTATAACGGGTTCCTAACGGTATCCTAACAGTAGGGGAGAAAAACGTCTTGTTTTGTAGAAATCTACTTTAAATATGGTCTATTGGAACAAACTTCTCCAATGATTGCAATCATTTCTACAGAATTTTTTTCCTTCCTATTCTTATTCTGTCAATATTTTGGATGGCAAGAATTGAAGATTTCAAGTGAAATTTACATTACAAAAAGAGATTTCACTACATGTACACCTTCGAGCTAACAGCATTCTTACTGAATTTCTTAATACCTTATTTGATCTTCCCTCATTTTAAAAACCTAAATTACAATCTTTTTCCTCCCGATAGGTCGTATCAAACTGGACCTTAACTACGTGACATACTGTGATATGTGGTTCGAATGGGATAAGTTAACTGAGGAGCAACTAGTCGGCCTGACATCTAAATACAGCAATAACTGCGCCGATTGTAGGGTGAGTTGATTGGTTGGATTATCATATACCCATTAATGATCATCTTCATTTGGTTGAAAATTGCTAGGTTAGCAAAGAGCAGGACAATTTTCCAAGCCTGTAAGATGTATCATGGAATGACTTTCCATGCATGATTATCAAGAGTGAAGATCAAGTACTAGTAGTCTAGATCCATCAAAGTGTATTAACAACATCGTGAGGGCTGATTGCACAATCAAAGAATTGCTATGAGTGTCAGGACATGAGTGCTATGGCAGGTACCAAGTAAGAGATGGGTTGCACTGAGCATTGCAATCTCTTAGCATATTGATCCTTTTCTGGTCTTAGTTGATTCCATGGCACCTATTTTATCACATGTGATTTGTGAATTTATACACCTGAAAATCAAAAATACACTGGAATCAATTAACAAAAATACCCCTTTAGATATGTGGCACAGGTACATAAGTTGAGTGGTATGTTAAGATTTAAGCAGCATCACATAAAAAGTTCATTCAAGAATTTTAATTGACTTTATAATATCTTTGAATTCTCTTTCAGATAAGAGGCGTAATTGGAATCATCAATATAGACACTCATTCCGAAGACAAATATACAGCTTCATATGTGGATAAGTCCCCTCTTTGGGATGACGGAAGTTGTCGTTACAACCCTGTTGCATCTCTCTTCTACAAGTCGCACGATTGTGAGACGCAGTACAGCCACTGCATATGGGCCAACGACACTTGCCTATGGGAACCTTCAAGAAACTACAACCTTTGCTACAATGCTCGGGAAGCGGTGTGGAGACATCGCAACAAAATGAAACGCCTAGCCGCCGATGTACCTAAAACTAGACCACGATGCAAGAGTTCCGCGACGAGATACATAAGGCGCTGTGCCGCGGCCAAAGAGAGGAGAAGACAGAAGAAACAGGAGAGAAGAGAAGGACAAAGGCCACCTGTCAAATACCTTCAAATTTTACTTAATGGAACTAGAACAGCACTGGAAACATCAACTGCTTTGATGGAATGATGATTAAAAAATAAAACCCCAGAGATGGACTGTTTCTTTCCCTGTTCTATTCTGAATAAAAGGTACAGTATCCTTGCATCTGGGAAAAAACAACTTCTGATGACTGTTGAGCCTTTTATTTGGTGTGGCTAGTTCTCTGCAGTCATTGTCCTCCACTGACAAAAGTCCTGACTTCAAAGTTCAACCAAACATTGTATCTAACACATTCAAAAGCCCCATAGCATACCTAACCCTAACCTTAAAGTTCAGAGCAAATGTCGATTGAGTAACATTTGTCAGATCACCTAGGAAGAATCAGCATCAAGTTTGTGTTTAAAGAACAAGCCCTTGGATTCCTTGTCTTTGAAGTAAAAACAAAAATCAAAGTCTTGTTTCGCTTTCAAACTTGAACTTTGCCCTGTTTCATAAACTTCTTGTCAATAACAAATTTTAAATTTCTATGACAAATTTGCTCTCAGCCAATCAAATACCACGATTTCAGTAGCTTACTTGTGAGCTACAAGTTACAAGCTAGTAACAAGTTAATATAACTTGTTATTAATAACAAGTTTTTTTCAAACTGGGCCCAGTTTAAGACAATATCATTTGATATGCAGTTGCCAAGATACAGGATAATTAAATCATTCAATAATACTTGTGATTCTTCCAATAAGTGCATTTGATATAAGATCTTAGTAAAAGATGGTCAGATTCATGGAAGCTCTTTGCTGCCACTTTGCACATGTTATAGGGTTGTATTTGTGAAAACTATATTATTTATTAGAAATGCTCTCACTGCTGAATCTTCACTGAGTCATCATTGTATTGAGTTTTAGCAATGTTTGGGCAGTACTATATACATTCAAACATCCTTTGCATCCACCTGTATAGAAAGACCACCTGTCAAATAGGACATCATTGTGTTTCCCTGTGAGGTAAGTTTCTCAATGAAAACTGGATCAAAGGAACCTGTAACCCACCTACATATAAAAACTACTTTTCTTATCAATCTTTTTGTACCGGTGGTCTTTATATAAAAGGTTTAACGGTGTTGCAGTTAGTTGCTACCCTTTTTATAGGCACTTATCCATGTATTCCTTTACATAAAACAGTGACAGAATTAGACTGAAATAGTGACATCTAGACAGACACAAACTTAATGAATGTTTGACTTTTCCAAATCACAGAAAACTTTACAGGTGCATGTCTTAGTAGAAAATTAGGCAACACTCTAAGCAAATCTTAATGCTTACTTTTCTAGAGAATTATTGTATATTCTGTTAAAGGAATTTCTTATTATTATCAAACTTGAATAGTCATAGCATGCAAGAAGGATCATCATTATATTTGTTGACAATTAAAAGGGAGCTGCTTAGTTTTGAGGTAATACAAAGTTTTGGTATGGGGTCATGAATTTGCTTCAAATGAACATGTTGGAAGCATATGAGAGCCTACAATATTAATGATCGCTGTCAGGGTTGAAATCGATTCTAAAGTGATGAAATTGTGAATAATAAACTTTTTATGTTGTATAGCTCCCTCTCAAGATTGATATTGCTTTAGCTTCAAAACAATGTTTTTTGACTAAAATCAACCAATTTTCTATTCCCGTTTGGAAATTATATATCAGAACTGCATATTCCGAGATTTTCAAGGTTGCAGCTACCATTGTATGGCCGTAGACCTATTTGTAAGTTATCGGGAGCACCAATAAATTTGATAAATTAAAATTCTCAAAATCCTTAGCGTTTGAGATCCAAATTTGTTCAAAGTTGCTTATTTTAACACTAGGTTTCACAATGGTAATGCAAATTTTAAATTTCATAATCCAATCCAGTAGAAATATTACCAAAACTTTGTATTATCTTTAACATGACACTAGTTCCTCTCTGGCTTTCAACAGACTGTAATGAAACCATAGCGGTAAGAAGTTGCAACATGTACTTATTTAAGCTAATTGATTTAATGATGTCACTATAAACCTGTACACTTTACATGTAAAGTTTAAAATTCTCAAACAAAAGGCAAACTGTCACATTTATGTATACAAATGTTTAGGTTTACCATATTGAGTAAACAATACATTTCATCTTTACAATCTAGTGCTAAAAGAAATGTGATTATCATTTGTTTATTGTGAGGCAGTAATATAGAATCAAGTCTTAAAAAGTGCGTCTTTGTAATGATGCCTAAATCGAAAGAAGTAACTTCAAAGGCCCATACAACAATTTCATTTTATTTCTTATCAGAAATAAAGACCCAATCTTTAAAATTCTATTGTTGAGTCATCAGTGTGGAAGTTTTAGGGGGGAGGGGGGGGGGGGTGACATTTTAAAGGTTAAATCTGTTCAAACATTAGGGTTGGTGGTTCACTTTCAACCAGTTCCTTCCCTTTACCAAGGACTAGAATAGATGAAGCAAATGAACCAATCCAGATTGATCATCACATGATATCTAACCAAACATCTTAACCTACTGAATACTGAAATATCTTTTTCCGATACAAAACATTGCTCATTTCCTGTAGGCAATGGGTTGGTTAACCTGGCATTTAAAAAAAAAAAAAGGAAAATGAAAACCAACATTAAATTGAAAAAGAAGAGAAAACCAACATCAAATTGCCAGTATGATCTTCAAGTTTTCTATCACTTCTATCACCAAACTATTGAGGTTAATGAATTAACATTTAAAAATGTAATAAAGTCTGCAGCAGAAGATTTTTGTATATGATGTAGGTATGTCAGCATAGCAAACTTCCAGTAATATATACAGTACACGCCGAAAATCTCCGCAACACGATTTACACGATTCAAAATTTACACGATTTGACTGCTCGCGGGAATCGTGTAACCATTTATTTTTACACGATTCGTTTTTTGCCAATGAAGCGAAATTTGAATCGTGTAAACGTGTAATCGTGTAAAATTACACGATTCCTCAATTCAGGTCGAATCGTGTAATCGTGTAATCTGCCCGCCGAAAATCTCCGCAACACGATTACACGATTCAAAATTTACACGATTCGATTGCTCGCTGGAATTGTGTTACAATTTATTTTCAGTGGTGATGGTGAGCAGGTTAAGGACGTCTAGTTCAGTAAAAGCAAGAAGTTACCTCTTGGTTGAACGAGGACAACGTGGACGATACGAGGGGATAGCGAAGATTACGCTTTCTTTCTCTTGTATATATTTTTAATTGCAGTGTCTTGTCTCTAATTTTATTATAGAATGTTTGAAAGTTAAAAAAATCAGTCCACTTCCCGAAAAGCACTCTCGGATTTAATCTTCGGTGAGAAAAAAGAAAAAAGCGATGAACAACGAAGAAAGGGGGGAATTTTGTTATTCCTAAGTTGTAAATTAGTAAAAATGATTACAAAATGTAAAGGAGGGCTAACATAATTAAGTATGTTGTGATACTCTTACATTACAAGGCTGTACCAATTAGAATTACGAAAACCAAGGTTTGTCGACAAACCTCCTTTGTGAATTCGGGCCTTAGACTTTGATCACTTATTGCTTTTTTAGCGTTCCTCATTTTCGTAAATTACCTTTTACAACATTGCATTATTCAGCTATATGTATAAAGAGCTACGGTCAAGGCTTAAGGGCACACTTCCTGTCACATACAAAAGAAGCTTACTCTGAATGTGGCCTGCCATTGACCCTCGCCGGGGACAAAGGCCGTTGCCCTAGCTACAGGCAGAGATCCTTACATAATACCTATTGTTCAGGGGGTTCCCCTTGAACATAGGATCCCCCTGAACAATAGGTATTACATGTACGTAAGTATGTAAGCCACTGGCTACAGAGTTTAGGGAACAGTTCCAAGCCGAGAATGAATAGAATAAGTGAATGGCCAACTGTCTTTGAGTTACGTTTAGCTAGCGGCACAGTGTCCCCCCACTTTTTCAAGTTCCCCCAAAGTGCCCCTTTGTATGTAGGAAAAGTACCTATTTTACTTTGACAAGTGTCCCTATTAATTTGTAAAAGTGCCCCTTCCCCTTTTCAACTCTGATAAGTACTCCTTTTCTTTTGACACACACCCCTTTTCCTTCGACGAGTTCCTATTTTCCTTTACAATAAGTATCCATTTTCCATTCTCATTAGTGTCCTTTTAATCTCTAGTAAGTATCCCTCTTTAAGTACGAGAAGTGCCCCTCTTCACTTTTGATAAATGGCCCCATCAACTCCGATAAATGCCCCTATTAAAATCTGATCGGTGCCCCTTTTCTTTCAACTAAAGCTTTTTTTTTATCTCTCTCTCTCTCTCACTCTCTCTCTTTCTTTCAATATCTTTCCATTCCCCCATATCTTTCTCGCCTCTCTTTCCCTCATTATGTTCCCCTCTTACCTTATTAATTTGTCTCTTTTCCTCTCCGTTTCATAACCTTCTCATTTCTGTTAATTTTACTAGGTTTCGTCCTTCTTTTTTTTATCACTCTATTTCACTCTTTCTTTTCTTCCGGTCAACTTTTTAGTTTTCCCTTTTTTCTCTCTTTTTTTCTGTTTATCTTTATCGTGCCTTTCAACCCTCATTTTCCTTTTATATATTATGTTCCCTTCTCCTCGTAGCTATCTTTTTTCCTTTACTATTTCATCTATCATGTCTTCCTGTTTCTGACGTTTTCCTACCTTGTCTCACGGATTAGTATACGATACATGTTAGTGGAAAGTGCTGAGGTTTATACACGAATATAAAGTACAGTAATTAACTGATGTACACTGAAGGTAAGTTGTGTATAAAGCAATTGGTGTCAGCAGGATAAGATTTAACGATTGTTGCAGCTTGTCGCATCGTTCTACCAATGCCCTTATAACCCTAATAACTATTTACACGATTACACGATTCAGAGCGACATTCTTCAATCGTGTAAATTTACACGATTACACAGTTACACGATTGTTACATCTGGTCGAATCATCCCACCAATGCACTTAACTATTTACACGATTACACGATTCAGAGCGACATTCTTCAATCGTGTAAATTTACACGATTACACAGTTACACGATTCAGGTGAATCGTGTAAACCGTGTAATCCTAAAAATAAATCGTGTAATCGTGTTGCGGAGATTTTCGGCGTGTACTGTACTATACTGAATTCA